AACTGCATTGACTTTCGGAACGCCTTCGTTCTATCTATGTAGAAGGCCAACACCCTTCCGACGTTCAGGGAGTGCAGCCTGAGTTTCTCATCTGACATATGAGGCTTTGGAAAGCAGACGAGTAAGTATATCTCCTTTCCTGTGTCGTATGAAACTGGGAAACTGTCTTAGGCAGAAACGCCTGTGCGGTCACAGCTGGACCTTATCCTTATAGAAGACCATATAGGGCGGTTCTGAACCACCCTGATCTCGGACACCCTGTGGGCCGATGTTATTGCAACCAGGAACGAAACCTTCCAGGCGAGAAGCAGGAGAGAGCAGGAAGCCAAAGGCTCGAAGGGAGGCCCCATGAGCCTCAACAGCATGAGATTCAGGTCCCAGGGAGGGACGGGATCCTGGACGTGCAGGTAGAGATGCTCCAGGCCTTTCAAAAACCAGCCCGTCATGTCGTGAGCGAAGATTGATCTGACTTGGAACGGAGGGTAGAAAGCCGAGATAGCGTCCAGGTGGACCTTGATCAAAGATAGGGACAAACCTTGGAGTTTGAGGTGCAGCAGATAATCCAGGATCTCCTGCAGCGAAGCCTGCGAGGCCATTCCGAGGCCCAGCCCGTGAACGTTTTCCACTTGGCCAGGCAAGTCGCTCTGGTGGAGGGGTTTTCCGCTACCCACAAGACCTGCTGAACCTGGGCTGAGCATTCCCGTTCGTCCGCATTCAACCATGCAGTAGCCATGCTGTCAAGTGCAGTGCTGCCAAATTTGGGCGCAGCCATGTGGCCCAACAACTGCAGCAGATGTGAGCCGTGGAGAGCGGGTGGTTCTTCACATGGGAGATCAGGTTTGACATGTCCTGAAAACGCGCTACCAGAAGGAAGGCCCTGGCTCGCATGCAGTTGAGAACTAAACCAATGAACTCTATTCACTGGATTGGCTTTAAGGTGGATTTTTTCTCATTTATTATCAACAGGCCCAGGTTGCGGCAGGTGGAATGCTCCAGACTTAGCTCCTCTGCACTTGTTCCCGAGACCTGCCCTTGATAAGCCAGTCGTCGAGATACGGGAAGACCTGGACCCCTTGACGTCTCAGTTATGCAGCCACTGGCACCCTACATTTTGTGAACACCTTTGGGGCCGATGAGAGGCCAAAGGGCAGTGCCGTGAACTGAAAATGGCATCCGCTTACTATGAAACATAGGAAATGTCTGTGACCTTGGAATATGGAAATAAGCATCCTTCAAGTCGAGGGGAGCATACCAGTCTTCTGGATCCAGGGAGGGGATGATGGAGGCCAGGGAGACCATGAGAAACTTCAACTTCCTGAGAGACTTGTTGAGGTGACGCAGGTGCAGAATTGGTTTGAGGCCCCCTTTTGCTTTTGGGATTAGGAAGTAGTGGGAATAGAACCCCTTTCCTTTCATGTCCTGAGGGCCCTCCTCCACACACCCCCCCAAGTACAGGAAGTTTTCGACCTCTTGAATGAGGAATTCCTTGTGAGAAGGGCCCCTGAAGAGGGATGGGGCAGGGGGGGTAGGACGGAGGGGCGGCCGAGAATTGCAGGGTATAGCCCCGAGATACTATGTCCAGCACTCAGCGGTCTGAGGTGACCCACAACCAGACCGAATGGTAGGGACAAAGATGGTCAAGGAAAGAACAAGGTGGATCCGGGGAGCTTGCTGGGTCATCGCTCTCGAGCACACTTTCAAAATGAGCACTTCTGACCCCCAGGATGCTTTGCCGGGTTGGGCTGTGTGGGTGAGTGGGAGCAGGAAGGGGCGCAACAACCAGAGTTTGTGTCTCTATCCCTTCTCCTTGCAGACCCCTGATGAGACTGCCAAGCCTTGGTGGCGGGGGCGGCCGGAACTTCTTCCTTGCAGACTGCGGCATATGCATACCTAGCGAACGAAGGGTGGCCCGAGTTTCCTTTAACCCATGGAGCCTCGCACCCATTTGCTCCGCAAAGAGACAGTCCCGAATGGGAGGTCCTGGATTTAGGTCTGCATTTCTTGGGACAGGCCAGCAGTCTGAAGCCAGGAGCTGCGCCTCATGGCCACCGCCAATGTGACCACCCTAGCCACCGAATCTGCCGTGTCCCAGGCCATTTGGAGAGACCACCACACTGTCACGGTACCCTCCTCCACCAGGGAGCCGAATTATTGGGCCAACCCTTGAGGGAGGGACTCCTTGAACTTACAGAGGGAGTTCCATAAGTTAAAACTGTACCTGCCCAAGAGGCCTGGTGGTTGCAGGCTGGCTATTGAATACATTTTCCTCCTGAAAAGGTCTAGTCTTTTGGCCTCTTTATTTTTCGGAGTTGAACTGGTGTGCCCCTACTTGTCCTTCTTGTTGTCCACAGAGACGACCAGCGAGCCCGGAGGTGGGTGGGTATATAGGTACTTAAATGCTTGGGCCAGGATGAAGTACTTCTTTTTGGCCGTTTTGGAGGTGGGAGGGATGGACGATGGGGTTTGCCAGAGGGCCTTGGCAATTTCCAGGACTCTGTCATGCACTGGTAGTGCCACACGGGCAGGGGTAGAGGCTGAGAGCACACCGAACAAGGTGTCCGCTTGCTCAGCCATCTCCTCCACCTCTTGCCCAAGTTCTCTGTCACCCATTGAAGCAGGGCCTGGTGTTCCTTAAAATTGTCCAGTGGGCTGGCCCTTGAGGGTCCCGTGACCGCCTTGTCCGGAGACGATGATTGTACAGCCAGGGGAGGCCCCCGGACATTATCTCCCATGGGGAAGGGGTTTTGGGGTGGGCACTGTCTCCTCTATCCTGACCTCTGAGCGCATTTCATGCATTGAGCCCAGTGCCATCAACTGTTGCTCCAAGGGGGCGGCAGATAAGCAGTGCAAAGGGGGCACTGGCATCACCGGCATGCCCCATGCACTCCAATAGGGCCACTGGCCGGGCTGCCAAGGTGGAGTCTTGCTGAGGGGCTGAACTGCCCTTCCATGCTGGAGGAATCTTCTTCTGGTGGCATGGCAGGGCCGTCACAGCCTGTGCTTGCCTGCTGACTGTTGCCGCCGGAGACTGGTGCTTCGAATGGGAGGACCAGTGCCGATGTCGTGGAGACCAGTGCCGGGGGGACTGGTATTGCGACGGGGAGTGCTCTCACGGGGCAGGCAACAGAGATCTGCACCGGGAGGACGACCAGCGGGAGGGCAAACGGTGCCTGTAGTACAGTGACCGGCGCCTCCCCCTAGGTGATCCGTGTTGAGATGGTGGAGACCGTGAACGCAGTGCCAGTGACCAAGGGCAAGCCCCAAAGGATCTGGACTGTGACGCCAGAGATCTGCGGCACGGAGATGGAGAGCGTAGCCTTGGCTCAGGGGATCAGCGGCCCTCCATTGTCCTCCTGGGGGTCCTGGTAGCTGGTTTGTCCTCGTAGGGAGCTTTCGCTGTGTCCTGTGGCACACGCGGTGCCAACAGCGCGGGCAGAGGCCTCTGTTCTGTTGGCACGGGGGGGGAGCTTGGGAAGGTGTCCATGTCACCACAAGTTTGGGTCCCCTCCTACTCCTGGGAGTCAGTGGTGGATCCTTTAAGGAGTTAAGGGCCCTGACTGGGGAGGCACGTCCACATGGCTCTGGAGTGGCTGGGTTGCCTGAACTGGGTCTTTTGCCCAATGCCCCATGGCCTTTCTTGCCCGGTGCCGGGGAGCCATGTTTCTTAGTTTTCTTTTGGGGAGTGGTGCTGGGGATGCGCTACACACCGAGGCTGAGGTTCCAGGGGTCGAGTCCAGCTGGGATGGCTCAGAAGCCAGTCAGAGGGCAGCCTCTATGAGGAGAGCCCGCAAACAAATAGCATGTTCTTTCTGAGTCGAAAGTCTTTACAAATGCAACACTTGCCCTTTGCTTGTGATTCCCTCAAGCACTTGAGGCAGCTGCCATGGGGAGCGCTCACAGGCATCGGCTTAAACCCCAGAGACTGGGGCATGCCCTGCCTGGGGTGAAGTCCCCAGTGGGACTCTGACTTCTAACTACACTTAACAACTACTTACCGCTAATATGAACAACTATTTACATGGCCCTAAGGCTCGCAGTCAGAAGAGATGAAACCACTAGCCCTTGCTATGCAAGCAAAGGTGTTCTGATTAACCACCACGGGCGGTAAGAAGGAACTGAGAGGGTGTAGGTCAGCGGCGCCTGATACATCGACGGATGAGCGCAGCACTCAAGGAGGGGCACCGCAGCTGACCCTACAGATACCGCTAAGGCAAAAATCTCCGACAACCGCGCACGTGGGCATGCACACCTGCAATGGAATCGACATGAGCAAGCACTCGAAGAAGAATTGAAGTTCTTTTTGGTCTACAGGTTTTTGAATCTTTTTTATTTTCATCAATTACTTTTTAAATGACATTTGAAGGACATGTTTACCTAACATATGGTAAACATTCCAGTGCTTCTTATTATCCCCTCTCCACCACATGGCCAACGAATAGGGGCTGTGAATGGGCAGATCTACAGGTGGGAAATTGGGGTGGAGCAATTTTTGTGATACTTTGAGTACTGGGACTAACACATTTGGGTAAGGGTCAGACACAATCTAGCCCTCTGTTTTTTCACTTAGTTCTTAGTCCAGGCAAAGCTGTCATTGACTTCCCAAGATTCAGTAACGATTTCAGGATTTGGCCTGTAATGAACATGGCATAGAAATAACTCTGAAAATTCAGTTGTATTATGTTTTCTAAAGACAGAGTTAGACTTACTCTAACTTCAAACTTAAGGGAGACACAGCATACTCCTATAACCTCTTGACACTGACACTCCAACAGTGAAAGGTTTTATAGAAAGTGCTATTTGTTACCAAATGATAATACAATAAAAACAAAACCCTCTTGAACAATAAGTGCCCTTCATTGCCTACACACAACTATGGTTTCTGAGTAAGTGATGAAATTAAAAATGGGATGAACTTTTTAATTTAACAAAGAACCCTTTAAAAAATATAAAAAGGAAAATATCCCCCAAACCAAACCAAACCAAACCAATCAAAACTTTACCTGGTTGGTAGAAACTTGGTGACAGTTCTCTGGCAACTGCTCTTGCAATATCACTTTCCTGGCGAGCAGCCTGAGCAGCCTGATCCGCAGCATCAGCTTTAGCTCTTGCATGTGCAGTTCTAGACAGAGCAGAAAAGGGTTTATATGCATAGATGCCTTTTTGTTAGTTGCATTAATACACCAGAGAGCAAAGTATTATCGTCTCTGGAAAAGAAATGATGAAGCATAACCAGAGGATTACGCCTGTTGATTGTGAATAACTGCAAAACAGCAAACCTTCATACAAGTTATCATGACCCATGAAGTCTACACAAAATAATATTGGGACAAGTATTGGTCTGCTATAATCAGCCTAGGTTGGAAGTGAATGGAAAATATTTTTGTTTGATACTTTGGGGAATTTTTCTTCAGTCCGCTGAGCTGAAATTTATATAAAGGTGATTTTAATGAAGTACAGTCAGTAGGAAATATGGCTGTGACGTTGTGCAGTCTATATGGTTTTAGAAAAACATGATAATAAGCGAATATAATGTAACTGGGATAGTTTTAGAAAAATATGGTAAAAAGTGAATATAACGTAACTGGGATATGCTTCATGCAAAAGGTCTCTTGTAAGGTATCATTACAAAGCTTATAATCTACTGAGTGTGATCATCCGATTTGTATAAATGTACCACTCTTGTATCTAAAACTAGAAATATAAAATATAACTCTGAGGGCCTATTGTAATTATGTAAAGTGTGGGCCATTAATGATGGTTTGGAATCTTGATGACTCCCATTAA